TAGATTTTCAAAATGAACAACGTGAACGTCAATACACCTCTGCGAACGTTTTAACATGTTTTTCACTGATTTGTCAATTATTTTCGGTTTATTTCTAATGTTGTTACATACAAACGAATCAATCTGGTATACAGACGGTTCGAAAATGAAAAACAGCAAAGGAGCTGGGATCTACCATGTGAACTCAGGGAGGACAATTAGTTGGAACCTGGGGTCACTGACAGGCTGAAGTAACAGCAAGCAATAAATGCCTGCGCCAAAGTCATGCTAAATGACTCTCTTAAAGATAAGAGAATCGTTATCATGACAGACAGTCAGGCAGCCCTTAAAGCACTAATAAAGGTAGAAGTACAATCTAAATCAATATTTGATTGCCAACAGTCCCTCCAGGCTCTGGCAGAACATAACAAGGTCACCCTTGAATGGGTGCCAGGACATGAGGGAGTGTTTGGAAACGAGAAAGCAGACCTCCTAGCAAGGAAGGGAGCGGAAAAAACTCTTATTGGACCCACATGTGGTATTTCATACCAACTTGTTAAATGGGTGTTAAAGGAACAAATAAAAAGAGAACACCATATGCTTTGGATGAAACTTCTTGGACTTAGACAGTCCAAAAGATTCATAGAGGGGCCATCCACGAACAGACAACATCAACTGCTAAACCTTAGCAGAAGGGAACTCAAGGCCGTAATAGGACTCCTTATGGGACACTGCGGCCTTAGAAGACACCTAAATCTCTTAGAGATATTTGATGACTCCCTATGTAGAATATGTGAAGAGGAGGACGAAACTCCTATTCACATACTATGCCACTGCCGGAACCTTAAATGGGAACGGGAATGGTACTTCGGGGTACAATATCCGGAACCTGAAGAAATCGCGAAAGCGCCCATCAGACATATTCTTGAATTCATCAAGAAAATCAATCTGATGGGATAGAAACTGTGAGGGGTACAATAAGCCTAGAGCTTCAGTACAAGTGGGCTTTGAACCACGCCCTAATTCAGATGATGATGATGATGATGATACATACATTGTTAATTTTTTCCAATAACTGTGCTCGGGTATTCATTTCTTCGTTGTACAACTCTGATTTAAGGTAGCCTTATAAAAAATAATCCAGAGGTGTTAGATCTGGAGATCTTGGTGGCCAATTTGGGAAATGATAATTTAACTGTGCTTGTTTATTAAGTGATTTTTTAAAAATTCCACACCAAACATTTAATGTGTGTTCAAGTCGCTGGATAAGTCGAGGCGGTCCTGCCAATTGGCCGATTTTAGTTTTGGTAAAAGTCATAAAACACCCTATATCTTAGAAACGAGTAAGATTAAAGGCTAAGTTCCTTCCTATAGGGGTATTTTGAACCCAGCTAAGTGTAGTCTACCTCCCATTAAGCGTTTCCGTTTAAATCTGAAACACCCTGTATATCAAAAAATATTTTTAAAATCTATATAACTTTTGTTTCAAACATGTTTGCGTGTAACACAAATTGAAATGTCGAGCAATTACGCAATAATGGGAAACCTTGTATATCAAAGAAAAAAAATTAAAATTTTGTTAAGCCGAACCTGGATTTATGATTTCTATATCATTAGTTTTGCTATATCACGGAAATTCAGCCAAATGAGAAATTTTTATACCAAGCGGTTGTAAAGTTTTAGCCAAATAAAAATTTATATGAAATTCATATTTAGGTAATGAGATGCTAGACCCATTGATAATGGGTGATTTCGAATCATCTAAGTCTTCCACATCTGCAGTTGACTTGTACATTTATTTATGAAACAAACTTTATCATAAACAATATCTACTTTGTTTTTGTACCCTAGTTTCTTAAAAAATAATACATTATACACTTACTTAGGTTGAGCAGTGAGCTATTATTTACCGAGCACTTTTATTTCCTGAGGCGTGTAGCGTCGAAGGATATAATGTGCGAGGTTTATAATGGCCTTCTCAACCAAAGCATACAGGGTGTTTCAAAAAGGTATGTCATAAATTCTTCCTCAGATAGATTACTAAAAAATAAGTGGATTTGGCTATATTTACCTACATCAAAAATTGGCTCCTAACAAAGTTACAGGGCGTTAAACTAACATTCAAAAAAAAAATTTTTTTTGTAAAAGTTTGCTGTTGCGATTTTTCTTTGAATTTTTTGCCAGTGCTGTAGATTTGAAGGCCCAATATTTATATTTACAAAAAGTAGTTACTTACCAACACAAAAAAAGACGCGAACTATTAGATATTCAACACGAACACAACACCCGGCATAAATTAAGAATGAAAACAAAAACAATAAAAGTTTACAAATCAGCAACCCAAAAAAGTTTGTTATATATAGCGCCTCACATATATCGCTTTGTGCCTGAAAAAATTAAAGAAATAAAAAATTCCAAAAGCTTTGATAAAAATGTTAAGTTTTGGTTAAAAAACTATCCGCAAAAAAAGTTTAAATATTTATTTGAATGAAAATTAATCCTGTCATCAATATTTTTGTTCACACACTTTTTCTAATTACTTAAATAATTAATTTGATTTATTTGTATGTACATATTTAGGTAAGCTTAAAAAGATATATATATATATATATTTTTAGTTTTTAGAAATATAATCTGTTAAATTGTAATAATTAACTTTTCTTTTGAAAGAGAAAGAAAATATAGTATTTTCCCACGTACTAGTCGCAAGACTTCAGTGGAGATATTTATTTTCCATCTTCATTTGGAAAAGATATGTATATATATATAAAAAAAAAAAAAATTGTATGTAAATTGTAGAATTTGGGAAATAAAATTATTATTATTATTATTATATATTCTAAGGAGAAAAAAAATTAAAGCAACCCCCTTAAAAAGAGTTGGGGGGGTTGGGTACCTTTTAACCCACCCGTATTTTTTTTGACATAAAGAAACTTGCTTTATTGATCTTAAAATCAAAGAGAACTATGACTTTTTTTTTATTTATAGGAAAATGAACTTTGTATCTTTCTTAGTAAACGAGCTATTTACAATCTTTTAACTGAATTTCTAGAGCAATTCGTCCATCCTGGAGTTAACATATCAAAAAAACTAAGAGTAGATCAGGAGTTATTGTACAAAAAACACATATAAAAATCAGTGGTGTGCCTAGGGCTGTGCTTGAGTCGGCCCTGCAAAACTACCTCTTTTATTTATATTTTTGTATCCAAGAAGGAGGAGGACATATTGAACATTTACTAAATTAAATAATTTATAAAATATGTATAATAATAATAATAATAATTTTCAAGAGTTTATTATTAAATATTAATTTTTTGTTAATTGTTTAATTAAAAAAATAATTTTTTTAATTACTATTAAATTAAATAAATACATTTCCAAATTAACGTGTATTTTTTCAGTGGCACGGTGAACCCATGAGAATGGGTGGCACACCATTTTTATGGCGCCAATCCAATATTACAAATACCTTTTTCCCAAAAATATAAATAAAAGAGGTAGTTTTTGCAGGGGCGGCTCAAGCACAGCCCTGGGCACACCACTGATTTTTATATGCGTTTTTTGTACAATAACTCCTGACCTACTCTTAGTTTTGTTGACATGTTACTCCAGGACGAACAAATTGCTCTAGAAATTCAGTTAAAAGATTGTAAATAGCTCGTTAACTAAGAAAGATACAAAGTTCATTTATCTATAAAAAAAAATTAGAAATTTAAAGTTCTTTTTGATTTTAAGATCGATAAAGCCTGCATCTGCCTGAGCAAGAACAGGCTACGTATTGTAACAGGGATCCTTACCGGGCACTGCCGACTAAAAGGACACCTAAGTAAACTGAGAGTAGTAGAGGATAGTGAGTGCAGATTCTGTGAGGAGGAGGACGAAACCTCCATTCACATCCTAACTGAATGTGTAGCACTCCAGAATCCAAGGGCACTATATCTAGGAGGATATCAAATAGAAGAGGGAGACTTACCTAACTTGAAGCCACTTCAAATCCTACACTTCCTTGAGAAAATAGGATTGGAAGGGTCGCTATAGGCATTGAGACATTTCCTTATTGCAGTGGCGACAGAAGGGGACACAATAGATTTTTTAGGTCGCAGTGTATTAACACCCCATTATCAACATAACATAACAAGATCGATAAAGCAACCCCCCCAACTTTTTTTAAAGGGGTATCTTTAAATCTTTTTTCTCCTTAGAATATTGGGCCTTCAAATCTACAGCACTGGCAAAAATTTCACAGAAAAAACCGCAATGGCAAACTTTTTCAAAAAAAAAAAAAAAAAAAAAAAAAAAAACGTTTTTTTGAATGTTAGTTTAACGCCCTGTAACTTTGTTAGGAGCCAGTTTTTGATATAGGTAAATATAGCCAAATCCACTTATTTTTTGGTAATCTATCTGGGGAAGAATTTATGACATAACTTTTTGAAACACCCTGTATATAGAATATTTTTACTACCAACCCTGATATATTACTATACATATTTGATTTGATTAGATTTTGATAAACCCTGTTTTAGTTATTTCCTACTTATTTTTCAAATATTTCGAAATATCAAGTAGTCTGGGAATTTAGTTGTCAAATTAACAAAATGAAACTAATGGAATTTAATTTCATTATTTACCTACCTAATTGTTTTTTTATTATGTGCTGGGGACTAAATAAATTAAATCTGTTTTTCATGTTTATTTTATAAATTAGTAAAATTCATAAAATATTTTTGAATTAGTTATTTTATCTTAATCACCTAAAATAATTTTTAAAATTTTTAGATTTTCGTTAGTGGTTCGTAAACAAAAATATACTTTACAACTCGAGTGGATTGTCCGTATCATAATCAGACGATTTGTGTGCTCAAACATCACTCTTGTTGCACAAACTACTATTTTTTATAATTTGATTTTTTAATGCTTTCTTTGTTTTGAAGGCGCAGTAAATTTTCGTGGATCTTAGATACAGTACTTTATGTGTAATCCAACCATGGTGAGGCTTTGTATCAAAACTTGAATATACTTACGGTTGTATTAAAAGCAGAATTTGTACGTTTCTGGAACATCTCTCTCTTAGAAGCAGCAGTCGTGGGTCTTATAATAACAGAAGCGATCGGCTTGACGTAACCATTACTGACCTCTTCGTGTCCCAACTGGTCACCATCAGACAAAGATCTACTGGTATCTGGTATACTATTATTAACATCATTATCAGTTTTCTTATTATTTGGCACTTGCCAGAAGGTATCTGCAGTAGCTTTAGGTTTAGTGTTTTTTCTCAGCTTAAAAGAGTTTTTTTCATTGATCGAAATTCCCGCGGTTAAAGGTTTGATGATTTTTGGATTCGGATGATCGTGGTCGGCGTATTCTTGATGATTTTGCGATAGAAATATCTTAAGATTCGGTTTTTCTTCGGTGGGTTTTAAATTCTGTCTTAGGCGATTTTGGAAATCTTGTTTGGTTAGTAGAGAATCGTTTTCTAATGAAGCTTGTCTGGTCAATTTTCCAGAGGACGATCTTCTGTTTTCGGTGCATTTTTTAATGATGACCGGTTCATCGTTGATGGTGTCAATCGGATCGACCCAAGCGTGTTTGATGAAAGGACTCCTGTCGTTCAAGTTGATTTGTATGTTTAGATCGTCGGACCATTCTTTGAAGCTTCTTCTCTCTTCGGAAAATTGTTTTTTTAGCGTGTGTTTTCTCGCAGGCGGTTGCAAGTTGTCACAATTGAGAGATAATTGGCGAAAGCCTAACAGCTTCTTCATAGCAGCCATTTGAATGCGAGAGATAGAGAACCATAGTTTTCAACGCGAAGAAGAAGTTATAAAGTTCACATTCCGTTGTTGTAAATACAGTATTAAGATACGAGTTTTCCGCGCCCGGTCGGTGTGGGAAAGCACGAAAAGCGGGAAAAGGTTGTTCACTCCTCGCTGGGAGAAGTTTTACTGAAACGTGCATCACATGTTTTCGCTCTTTCGTCGACATTCATTCATTTATTGATCAGAACTTTCGCTTGATTTGTTTTTTTGCATGTCGATCATAGCTCTAGCTATGGCTTTGGCGCTTGCATATAGTTTTGAATTTTTTTTCCGAAGAATTTGTATCTAATAATTGCGATGTGGCGATAGCGTTTTCGTTTGATTTATTCAAATGGGATTTGTTTACTGGAATAGTTTTTTCGTACGAAAACTACAGTGCAAAAATCCTTAAGAGTAGCTAGTCTCAGATGAATAAGTAAATTAGATAGGTAACTGTCACGATTTGTTTGGATAGAACCACGGTTCGTAAATTACAGATTTATAACAATTGCTCGAAAATAATTTCCCGAAAGACAATTCCTCGATAACAGTTGATCGAATGGACAATTGCTCGAACAAACATTTGCCCGAACGAACAATTTCTCGAATGGACAATTGCTCGAATAATAATTAACTTTAAAAATTACCCGAAAAACTAATTTTTCTAATTTTGACATATAAAGTGACATTTTTTGTTATTGCAACAAGTGTCAAAATGATCTACTTTACGCAACCACTTGCATAATGTTGAACATTATGAAACTGGTTGCGAAAAATTCATTATGTCACCAGTTGCAAAAAGAAAACAAATAAAATGAACTTTTTTTGTTTTAAAACCAATAAATACTGTTACGCAGGTTTTTGGTATCTCAGTTTATTTCAACTTAACTTTTACAATAACTATACAACTAATAACATTGACGTATAACGTCTAGCATTAAGGTGCCTGCCTGCCACACACATACACACCTTATGCAAATTAGTCATTGACAACCAGTTCCAATAAGCCTCTTCCCAAGAAATTAGGTAAAATTGCCCTAATGGTCAGATTTAAATTAAAATAACATTAGGGTAGGTACTAAATTTGTTACAAATATTGCAGTTGAATTGATTCTTTGCCAGTGTTGACATTGTATGTATATTGTAAATTTAGTGGACATTTTAAAAATGACTAGACGTGTGTTTGATGTAGATAGTCTAATTTGTAGTGTACATAAGTATTTTACGGATAAAAAAGAAAATGGAGGTCCTTTAAAATCGGTAATGTCTGTACAATAACGCGATGCGATGCTCTAGGAATTAGTGAAACCAAATTAAGAGGAGTATTACAAAATCACAATAGTGAACTGCCGAAAGAAGTTCACCGCAAAACTCGCCCATCATTGAAAACGAAAGATATTCCAGATGGAAAGAAATTTGAAATTCGTAATACCATTTATCGAATGAGGGCCAACAAGGAACATGTGACCTTAAATACAATTCTCTCGGAATTAATAGATAGAAAATTTGACGACATTGGCAGAACAAGTCTATGGCAAGTGATACATAACTTGGGTTTCAAATTTCAAAAGGAGGATAACAGAAAGGCTCTTTGTGAAAAAAGTTCTGTCGTGCACAAGAGAATTAACTTTCTAAGAAAATATTCTAAATTTAAAGAAGAAGGGGCAAATTTTATATATTTAGACGAAACATGGATATTTTCTAGGGGTGCAACCAAGAGAATATGGCAAGATGATAAGGTAAAGTCCATCAAACATACCGATGGAGAAAGTAAGCGATACATAATTTTACATGCAGGTAGGAAATCGGATTTTATAGAAGGTGCTGATTTAATATTTTCATCTAAATCAAAATCCAGTGACTATCACGATAATATGAACACAGACATGTTTGTAAAATGGTTGCATGAAAAACTTCTCCCAGGTTTAAGTGAGCCCAGCGTAATTATTTTAGACAATGCACTTTACCATTCTGAAGTATTAAACAAAAGTCCAACGTATTCTTGGACTGTTGATAAAATTAAAGAATGGTTGACAAATAAACATATACAATTTCCTCAATATATATTAAAATCAGAATTATTACGCTTGGCAAATATACACGCAAAACCAGTAACCTTTGTTGTGGATCAGATTATTGAAAGTTACGGTCATCAAGTTTTACGTCTGCCACCGTATCCTTGCCAGTTTAATCCCATCGAATATATATGGGGAATAGCAAAACAATATTATGACAACCATATTGGGCCTAATGGTTATAGTGACGACGCAGTTCGGGAAACTTGGCGAAAAGCACTTTCAATTGCAACTCCAGAAGTGTGGCGGAACTTTATATCCAAGTGTGAGAAACTAATAGAAGATTGGTGGACTCGTGAAAATAAAATAAACGAAATAAGTCCAATCATAATAACAATTAATGGTGATGACAGTGATGATGATGATGACGATTATGATATTTAAGATGATAATGACTGATTTTCATTTTTGTTGGCAAGTACAATTTTTTTTTTATTTGAAATTCTCTACAATGAACAAATTTTTATGTTAGAAAATATTTTATTTGAGCTAAATAACCCTCTTATTATACATAGACCATATTTTCTGTGTGAAGTGTAATATAAAATTATTATTTGATTTATAATAGCCACATTAGATTTCATTAATGAAGAAGTTTAATTCTGCTCTCAATTATACAAAATATTCTCCATTATTATTTAATTAAAAAGTTGTATTTTATTTTTATTTCATTTAACCAGTTGATATTTCCCCAAAGAACAGGTCAAACTTTCGGGTACTTACCTGGAAATACTCATAAAATTTTTAATCCGAAACCCGCGTAAGTATAGCGAACAAACTGTAGGTTCCCATCCTGTTTTACTGGTAAGAAACCCTCCTGTCACCACCGACCCCCCTGAGCCTGCCTGCCGTCAGGATCACCGACTTATATAGCTTGCTTTCACCTTCTCGAACTTTCTCGAACTGTTCAGATTTTTCTTGACGTGGAATCAGTGTTGCCAGAATATATTTTAGTTATGTACCAGATTTGGCTGAGAAATGTATCAGATTCCATAAAAATGTACCAGATTCTATGAATTGTACCCTCCTATTTCTCAAATTGTGATAGTTTGGTTCATTGAAAAGCAAAAAAGGTTTTTATCGAGAACGAACACAAACAAGGAATCCAACAATATATTTTACCCGTCCAAATGGAAACAGGCTAAAAAAAGTACTAGATTTTGCTCCGAGTGTACGAGAATACCAGATTCTTAAATAATGTACTAGATCTAGTACAATTGTAGTAGACTGGCAACACTACGTGGAATGACATTTTTCGAATATTCCCCGTCTTCTTTTACTTGTATCTTTACTTATGACGACCGCAGCACGCTGCTGGGTGCTGTGCGACAATACATTATTATTGAAAGTTTATACCAAAGAAGGGCAGGTTGATTTATAAAAATAGAATTTGGTTAAACTTATGACGTAGTAATAATATTGTTTTGGTCCTTATTTCCCATTCTAAGTTAGCATAAAATAATAAAACAATACACGATAAAATAACCCACTTTCTTGAAATCTAAATAACTTAAACAAGCAAAATAAACACCCTACAATAAGTCGTTGAGAATAAATTAATGGATTTTCTATTTGTCAATAAAAGAATGAAGTTAATCATATGCAACCAACAATACAAGAAATTAGTAATATTGGTTACCTAGATGTCAATATTTTTTTACCAAAATACAATTTTATAAATAATCTAGTCAAATTTAGAAAAAAATTGTATGTAACACGTTACTAAATGCCGTTTTATGTAACTCGTTCATGTTACGGGACCTCACTCTACTCGTCCAGTGAACTGAATAGTTAAAATTTAATGCCAATATCGCTTGGTGCGCGTGGTAGAAATGGTCCTCTAAAGCCTTGGTTTCTTTGAACACTTCGTCGCGGTGAGCGGACAGTCCGTCAACCATCGCGTTTTGACGATTTTATCCAACCAGAGTATTTAAATGGGAATGGTTTTCTTGAATCCGCTTAGCTGAGCAGGACGGCGTCATGCCGCTGATTTGTCGCGAAGAGTCGGTTGATATCTGTTGAGTTTGATACCAGCGGAATCGTCTGCGTGTGCGGAGACTATATTGTTATTAATTTTAAAACAATGAGTGACAAATTCACACATACAGATGACATCATGACTTTATTTTTAGGTTTCTTGGATATTATGTCCTTTATAAAACTCAACACGAATTCAAAAAGATCTGTAGAAAGTCTAAAATACTCCCTAAATTTGGTTTCATTTCCAAGAAGCCTCTGCTGCACAGTGATATTAGAGGCATCTTCTGTATCGCGACACAAAAACGACTCATCCACTGGCTTATTGGAAACTTTGACGGTTGCAATTGCCAGTTCCTCTTGTTCTTCCTCTTCCAACAATAATAACAACGCAAACAATTTATTTGCATCCATTTTAGTACCTTTCGTTTACATTCATAATACATAAACAGCACGTACAGACATAGAGAAATTATCATTTTCTATATTTTTTAACAAACCACCTCGGGCGAAAATTGCTGTCCTCAGCGGTCGACGGACTGTCCGCTCACCGCGACGGAGTGTTCAAAGAAACCAAGGCTTAACGCTGCTAAAAATGTAGCAAATTTTCATGAAAATACTGTACGCATGCGCATTATTGATGTGATCTCATTATTTTACAGTTTTGGTTTTTGCAATTTTGAGTGTGATTTTAAGGTTATTCGTTATTCTATAATTTCTTTTGTTTGGTTTTGATCTTTGGCGTCTTTAGAGTACCTGTGTTTTATAGTTATAGTTTTTAATTTGAATTTATTTACTTTATCAGGAAGTACATTTTGAATTTTTGAAAAATAAATTAAATTGGTTGTGTTACATGTTGATTAAATCTCATTGTAATTTTGGAAAAATAAATTAAATTGTGTTACTTGTTTAGAATTCTAAGAGAAGTTTTAAATCATGAAACTTTAATCGGGATTGGTCTATGTGGAAACTTAACTGATTTTAATGATGTTTTTATTTGGAGTGAGGGTAGCCATATGTGAGTAGTAGGGATTAAGTGTAAGGGGTTAAAGAAAAGGTCC